CTAGCGGGTAAGATGATTCCAGCCAAATCCTATCACAGGATGAGCACGTGGCCTGCATCCTTCCAGATGGACAGGATCTCCCTATAATGGGTTCCCTTTCTGCCCTGTCTTTTCAATCAGAATGAGCGATGCTAGCAGCATCATCTTATGGGTACACACGTTTGCTCATGTGCATCAACAATCACATTACGTTGTTGAGTGTGTGCTGAATTCCCCACTGAGGCAGTTGAGGGCGTCCCGGGGAAGATTGTGCCGGCATTCCTGCTCAGGCAGACTGGTGACAGCAACACCTGGCTCTGCCTGGGATGAATGACGCCGATCCACTGAGATGCTGATCCAGAAGAGTACCTCCATCCCACAGGGACTGGGACTTGTTATGTGCAATGGTGGGTGTGGGTGATGGGAACACCTGTAATATTGTTGGATGTAGCCCTACTTTGTATTCACCAAATGAATGTGTCAGCGGGAAATCAAACAGCAAGGTGATCCCCCGCTAACCTGTGTAACCAGACATTGCTGGTAAATGACACAAACAAGTGGTGGGACAGCCGTAAGCTTACAGGTGCAGTGCCCACTCATTGGCCCACTGAAGATGCCTTATGGGTTTTTGGCACCATGGGCTGGCTGTACCTGCCTGCACACGGGACAGGGCTCTGCAGCTGGGGATTTCCATATGTTAAGGGCACTATCAGATCCACTCTACAGACACCCCACAATTGGGACACTGTGTATCACAGGTGGCACTGTTCTAAACAGGTGGCCTGGTGGTTTTATCTGATGGCCTTGGTGCTGCCAGGGGCAGGGACCATAAACCTACCCCTCTAGCTTGAAGCCCTTGCTCAGCATATGGCCCAGGCCTTGAATGTTACATGTTAGGCTTTGATGTTGCTCATGGATGAGACATCTCAAGTGAGGAAGACGGTTTTGCAAAATTGCATAGCTCTTGATTTGCTGACTGCAGCACAGGGAGGCACTTGTGCTCTCTTACATGTAGAATGTTGCATTTATGTCCCTGACCACCAGACGCAGGCACAGGAAGCTTTGCACGGCATGAATGTGGAGGTGTCTGCTATCCAGGCACTGCAGCAGGACCCCCTTACCCAGTGGTGGGAATCCTTGGGATGCATGTGGCACTGGATAGCCGTAAGCTGTGCTGTGGTGGCAATGCGGTTGGTAGTGTTCTGTTGTTTCCTGTATTGTTGTTGTGGTCTTTATGTACAGGGGTCAGCCTTATGGGCCTCTCGAAAGAGGCCTTTCATAAGACTCTCACCCAACCTTTGATCGGGTGGGATGAGGGGAACTGCTCAGTCAAAGCGAGGGGCATGTAAGGACACTCCTGGACAGCCCTGAGGACAGGGCCCCATTGTCAGTGTGAGTGCACCTCGGGGCATGATTTTTTTTTTTCCTGGTACCGGGAATCGAACTCACGACCTTGCGCATGCTAGGCAGGCGCTATGCTGCTGAGCTAAATCCCCAGTCCCTGGGGCATGATTATATATAACTGTGACTTAGCAATGGACAACTGTACATGTGCCAGTGCGGTGAACATGTGAGAACATAAATAGGTGATAACAACCTGTATAAAAATATACAATAAAGATGCAGGTGGCTCTTCTGCTCTACTCTGCTCCATGTTGTCTGCTGTTGTTGCTGGAGGAAAAAAAAAGATAGAGGACTAACTGTCCCAAATTTGAAGACCTATAAAGCTACCGCAATCAGCAAAAATGGGTAATATTGCTGTAAAATAAATAGATCAGTGAAATAAGTGGCAGACCCATTAAACAGATCCATCCATACATGACAACTTAGATTTGATGAAAATATAAAGTCAGCTTATTGGAGAAAAGCTAATCTTTTTAATTTTAATAGATTGCATCAAAACAATTGGAAATCCATGTGAAGAAATAATTCATATTATATTTTCTACCATATAAAATTAACTCAAAATAAGTCATGGACTAAAATTAGAAAACTTCTCAAAGAATTGATAGGAAGAGAGTATTTATTACTTTGAGATAGGCAACTATTATATATGCTTTCAAAAGCACAGTCCATAAAAAAGTTGATACATTGAACTTCATCCAAATAGAAAAGTTTAGCTCTTCAAAAGAGAATGAAAGGCCGGGAATATACCTCAGTGGCACAAGCACTTGCGCCTGGGAAGTGCAAGGTCCAGAGTTTGATTCCCTGTACCAAAAAAAAATAAAAAATAAAAATAAAAAAACACGAGAGAATGAAAAGATAATATTTGAAGATTCTACGTACCACAGATAATATTTGCAAAGCATACAAAATGTGACTAGACAAAGGATTTAGAGCCAGAATATGTAAAGAAGTTTTAAAATTCAAGAAGAAAACAAACCAAGCTGGGTGTGGTGGCACATGCCTGTAATCCCAGCACTTGGGAGGCTGAGGCAGGAGGATTGCTGCAAGTTCGAGACCAGCCTGGGTTACAAAGTGAGCTCAAGACCAACCTGAATTGCATAGTGAGACCCTGTCTCAAAAAGACAAAAAAAAAAAAAAAAAAAAGAAAGAAAGGAAAAGAAACCAGCAACAACAAAAGAATACAAAAGATTTGAGCAGACATACCACTAAAGACATGTGGATAACCAACACATAAAAAGAAGCTCATCATTAATAATTAGGGAAATGTAAATGAAAACCACAGTAAGATATCATGCCTATTAGTAAAGCTAAAATTAAAAAGACCAGGTGAGTATTAAAAATGTAGGTGAGTATGTGGAGGAACTAAGACCCTCCTGTGTTGCTAGTGGGGATGTAAATCAGTACGTTAGCTCTGAAAAACAGTTTAGCAACCTCTTTTCCTGTTTTTTCCTTTCTTTTCCTTTTCTTCTCTCCCCCACCCAAAACTGGCATGATTTTATTATTATGAACATTGTTGATTTCCAGACACCTTTTTGTTTGAACCCTTCAGAGGGCTTTTCCAAATCTATTACCAAGCTATATATTAACCCTTTGTGTCACTAGTCCTCAATATGAATTGTCAAAATTTCTATGCTTTTTCTGCATTTTTGTCTTTTGCTTATTTTTGTTCCCTTAGTCTTCCTTCACTTCTACCTACCCATTTAAGTCTTCCAGTGCTTCAAATGCCCCAGAAGTCGCACCCACATCACGCTTCTCCTGACCTTCTGTCCCCACATATGTATGCTGCTTTTGTGCTTAGAAATGTCTGTATCAGTGATCATGAAGGTTAGGGGAAAGAATGCTCAAAATGAGCCACTGTGGTGGAGAAGAAAGTGTTAAAACTTTACAAGTATTTTCATCTCATCCTACGTAAGTTTTTATAATGTACACAATAAAATGTACCCAAATAGAAGATGTAAGACAATTGAAATCAGACACTGAGGGGCTACATAACCAATATGTTTTAATGATGAGGTACACACCAAAAAGTTAGGAGACCACTGATCTATGTTGTAATGATGAGGTACACACCAAAAAGTTTTAATGATGAGGTACACACCAAAAAGTTAGGAGACCACTGATCTATGTTGTAACCATTTATCTTACATTATAGGGTCTCTTTCTTCATTGGTAAAGTCAGGTCTAAGGTTGGACCAAGTAACTTCTAAGGTCTTTGATTTGGAGATGACATCTTTCTGTATTGCCCAGGCTTTTCTCCAACTCCTGGACTGAAGTGATCCTGCGGCCTCAGCCTCCCAAACAGCTGGGACTAGATTCATGCCACTGTGCTCAGCCTCTGAGTTATTTTCTAATTTGAATGTTCATTAAACTAAAAGAAAAAAATCTATTTTGAAAAATTGGAAGTTGCAAGTATAGTGCAGTCAGCTCCTGTTAGCTGTTCATACTTTTATCCTCAGTTAACATCTTACTGTATTTCCCTTTTGTCTCTTAAATATACATATACATATTATTGTTATGAACTACTTGCCAGTAAATTGCAGCCTTGTGACCCTTGACCCTAAATACTCTAGTATGTGTTTCTTAAGAACCAAGACATTGTCTTACGTATCCATAGTGTCTTCCATACTTCTCTCACTGCTGAGACAAAATACTCAACATCCAAAGTTAAAGGAGGAAAGGTTTATTTGGCTCACAGTTTGTAGAGGTTTCAGTTCATAATTGGCTGGCTCCAAGGCAAGGGTGGCTTGGCAGAGGGCCGTCGCAGAGAACAGTTCATGGCACCCGCAAGATAGCAAAAGTAATAGCAAAAGTAACAAGGGAGAAACCTTAATGGCATCTTTCTGCCCTTTTATACTCTAACTAGGCCACGGGGATTAGGGTAGTGCCAAACTAATCAGTGGACTGATTTAGTAATCACATATCCTTAATCCCATCATTGCACCATGAATCAATCAAACACTTTAGATCCAGCCACCTCAGAAAAAGTCCCGTCTATGACTGCATGTGGCTTTGAGGGGACCTCTAGACATAAACCATAGCTCAAAGTGTATTGATCAAATTTAATATTATATTATTTAAAATAGAGTCCATCTTCAAATTTTGCCTATTATCTAATATGACCTTTGTACCAATTGGGATTGGGAAGTAGAAATTTCATTGTTATTGCTCTTTAGTTTTTTTAATAGAACACTTTCTTAGCTTTTCTTTGTCTTTCTTGATACTAACATTAAGATTACAGGCCAGTGATTGTGAACTTTTTAGAGCTTTCAATGACACAAACAGTCCACTGTGGCATACATGCCATAGGTTCTACAGCACTGTTGTAGGCTCTCAATTTTGTATGATGCCTGATCAGGGTTTTCATAACTTTCCACGGTACCTCTGTTTGTCCTTCATTAATTCTTTATATGTATACATGTGTACACAGGTAAGGACTTAGATTCTGTGGTACACTTACGTTGATCTTTTCTCTGAACTAGATTATGAATTCTTTGTAGGTAGAGGTGATTCATCCTGTTAATCTTTATTTTCTATATTTACAAGCACTCGTAATACTTAACCTATAATAAAAATTAAATATATTTATTAATCAAAGTTTCTCAAATGTTCTGCAGATGAAGGGGATGATTTAAAATACATAGAGGACACTTCAGATGAATCAACTCTCAGTAATTACAGAATGCCAAGATAAGAATAGAGGTATTATGTTTTATTTTATTAAGTATTGAAGGTAATGGGGTAATCCAAAGTATAATATCATCTGGAACATGGACAAAACACCATGAATTCTGTACTAATTGCCATGTGTTACTTTTCATCATTCCTTTGAGAAAACCTTTTGCAATAGAGTTTGACTTCATTTTCTAATCCAGGTTTCAAAATAACATTTCCATCTGACCTGGTATTTTAGTGGGCCGGGAAATTAGCATGAGAGAGCTTTGATTTTTTAAAATGTGTTTCTCAAGACTGGAAATATCTTAGGTTGCCAAAAAATCTTTTATGATCCAGTAAGCATAGTTGTAAGACAATACGTCATCCAGAATTTTAAAGATGAATGTAAGCAGGAAGTTTTGCATATTGAAGTCCGCATCGAAAAAGATACATTGTAGCCTTTTACAGACTCTGATTTCCCCAAAGCCCGGGTCACTTATCTGTAAAGGTCCATAGTAAGCATAAATTTATTATTCAGGATTATTTAAGATTTTAAGTCCATACGCTTTCAGGAACTCTTCAGTTGTTTTCTCATGTTTCATTGAAGGACATTTAATATACAGGTTTTCTTAGTGTGGCCTTTCATAAGTACCATCTGGGCAGTTGTCTCGGTTGATTATTTGTCTCTGAAGGCCTGTTCTAACTGCATTTATCTGTACTTACTGAATAGCTCCTCATTACTCAGCACACGCTTTAGTGAAGAGATTCTGAGGAGTAACGGCTGACGTTCTCCATACCGTGGTCTGTCTGCGTGTATGTGCCTGTGGATAACTCGGCAACCTCTTCCCCAGCAAAGTAACAGCCAGTGTGGTTCAGCCAAAGTCTAGAGGAATGAAGTAACTGAAGAGGGAGGTTTTTTCCCCTGGATAATGCTGAGTGACACTCTCCTTGGGTTTTTTACTGAATTGCTCAGGTAGTAGGTTGTATTTCATTGGCGTGGTAGGTAGTAAACACAAAGAAAACAACCACCAACAAATGGGAAATACCAGGTAATTTGGATGATCTACTTTCTTGCCACAGTATACAGCTAAGCACTTTTCCTGTGTAATTCAAAAATGTATGCTTAGATCAGAATCTGATTTAGAGGGTATGAAAACATGTTGTCTATTTTTTCCAGTATCAGGTTTAATAAAAACTGGCAATACACTAATTTTTTCACAGAGATGGGTTAGAATATTTTATATGCTTGTCAATTTTTTAAATATAGAGTTCTCTGAGGCTTATTTCTACTTAGAAGGAGGTACTGTGATTCACCAAATTGTGTGAATTAAAGGCATGATCAAGGAACAGGGCATTAAAAGTCATGGCCCTGCAGTATTGGAAGTGCTTTGATCTTTTGTTTTGACACGTTAAGTTTATCTTTAATTATATGTGATGACATTTGATTACTATACACTTAGACTATTATAATGTGGTTTGTAAAATGTAGTTTATAGTATGTAATAACTTCAGCACCCATATTTCTATACTTAGGAGTTTGCAGAGTGATGTTTTAGTTTTGTTTAAGTGTGAACTATTAGACCTCTGAATTAGCAGATATTTAAAATGTAAAATATTTAGTACCCAGGCAAAGTATGATTTCTGTGCAGTAAGGGCTATGAATGTTTCCTGTGTCACCTGGTGTTTTATGTTGTGAAAGTAACAGAATTAATGTGTGGTTGGTTTCCTGATCGATCCACTAACAGGATGCTTTACTTTGGGGAAATGACTTTAAATTCCCTGAACCTTTGAAAATGGAAGCCTTAGACTAGATGATATCTAAGTTTTCATTTATGAAATTATGTAATTCTCCTGTGACATTCTCATATTGACATGAGGCCCATCACATATAATAAAATTCTGCACATTTTTCTAAAAGAAAGATGTTTTAATAATACTGCTTTTGTTAATGACTTTTTTTAACCTTGCATTTTGATATGGATATCAGATACTGACAAAAGTAAAAGCACAACTTCTAGGGAGGCCAACCCCATGATAGGCCACAGTGGTAGAACTTGGATTTGGAATTTCCTGTAGCTGTACAATACCTTATCTTTGAGGATATGACTTTTTTTTTTTTTTTTAAATATTATCTGCTTTGCTTGCATTTATGTGCCCAGCCCTGGGTTTATCCCAATTTAGGCAGTTATATGGTTTCACCTATGATGGGTCTTTAAAAGCTTCAGCCTGATCTTAATTCTGTAGGGGAAATTATAAAAAAAAATTATTTTCAAACAATAGTAGCCACATACAGTACTTTGACTTTTAACTCCATTTAATCAATTTTTTCAGTGTTTCTAATGGGATAGTTAAGCAAAAAACAAAAGTAGAAACAAGCAGACTAATAAAGTTCTACAAGTTCAGTGGTTATTTACAGAGTATTGTTAGGGGCATAATATTCCATGTGCTTTTTTCTGAAATTGGACTATTTTTGCTACTATATAACCAGTTTGTTATTTGCTAGAGGGATGTCTTCTATTACAAAGAAGTCTGCCACACACTGTAATTAGATATGTCTGTTTATTGCTTAAGAACTAAACAGTGGTGCTTTCATTTGAGTTTGTTTACTGTTTATATGTTTTGTCAATAATAAATACTTTGGGATTTTTTGAATTAATAGTATAGAAATCTTTATACTTGTGGAAAGTAGATGACAGAGTAAGAAGCACAACGAGAAAGTTATGATCCTACAATTGCATGCCAAGCTAGTCTTTTTTGTTCACAGACTATTGCTGTGTTAAGATTTTAGCATTTACTTCTTGTTAGAGAGAGTAGAATGGTAAAGCCTTTCTAGAAACTCTTTCAGGGTAGTTATTTGTATACCATGTACTAATAGAGAATCTAGATAAGTTAAAACATTTGATAACTATTGTTCCTCATGTTTGGTATTAAACAAAACTGGGGAAAGCAGGAACAAGGAATAGGAACTTGGTTGCTTAAGTCTGGAAAACCTATTTTTGGTATCTTTCCCCCCACCTCTTCCTCTGCATTGGGGCAGGATCCCTTGAGCTCAAGCTTTGGGGAGAAAAGTGGTGGAAGAAAATAGAGAGCAGATCATAGGATCTGACTACGTGCAGGTTCTCTAACTTGTTCCCCATGTCTGGTGAATCTGAAACAAATCCTCAGTAAAAGCCCACATTAGGTGATTTAATAGATGGTTGGTAGGTACTCAGAAAGGAAAAATCATGATCCCTTAGAGCCAGCCTGAGTTTATGAAAAAATGTTATGGTAGGGTATGCTAACTTTATTCTTCTTTGGAAGACTGTTAGACTGTTGATTACGCAGCCGATATCACACAAATGTCTGAGTTTTATGAGTCTTTTTGACATGGTCTATTACATGATATCACTGTGGGTAAGATGGGTGAGAATGATATGATAATATAGTTATGTTGATATGTAAGTGATTGGATAACCATCTGGAGGGGTGTTAATGGATCTATGTTAACCTAAAAGGACAGCCTTTAGATACCACAAGAATCTGTCTTCAGCTTCCTGTTATATCATATGTAAACAAAAAATTAAAAGAAAATAGAGCTGGCATACTGATCACATTTGTACTTAATGCACCATAGGGAAGAATGGCGAGATTATTAGGTGATAAAGGCAGGAGTCAGAAAATGTCAAACATCCTGGGATGATAGGATCAACAAATATGATAAAATTTACTGAGAACAAGTTTATAATGTAATATATAATGCTAAGATTTTCAGAATTAGGGAGAAATGGCTTAGATGTAGGGGTAGGAACAAAGACAACATCTTTAACTGCAAACAAATATGAACGGCCTTGTCTTGTTTCTTTCTTTTTGATCTTAGGCTACATTAATAGACTATCTAGAACAGAGTTAAGGATAATCTTGCTTTGTTTTGAGTCAGATTGTTCTGTTTGGATTGCCTACATTAAGAGTGACAAGTGGCTAAAATGAGAGGATTTTTTCACATAACCAAACTAAAGAAAGAAGGGAGGTTTATCATATAAGGAGTCATGATAGCCATCTTCTAGTGTGCGGTGGGCAAGCCCTATGGTAGATGAGACTAATGTCTCTAAAAGGCAAAATGACAATCATTTGATGTTATATAGAATTTTTTTCCATATAAAAATAAATTATAGTCCTTAGAACTTAAAAAAGAAGGAAGGATTACATTGGCAATTAAATAGTGAATCTTCCAGGATGTCTGAGCATATGATAATAGATGAAATTATTTGTCCGATAGGGAGTAAAACAAGTTGATTTCTAAGATTCATGCCAGTTCTTTTCGGTGGTAAGTTTTCTACTTGTTTAAAACTAGTCTTAGTCCATGGTATTTGGCTAAGAAGTATAGAATGCCTTTGACTATAAATTGATAAACAGAAACCATGTATGTATATTACTATCAGAACATGGCTGTTTACCTTTTCAAGGAGCTTTATTATCTGTGTACTCCCAAAATATCTTTCTGAAGTTAAAAATACTTAACATAGTGGTTTAGAATGGAAAATAATGTTCTTTCAAAGAAACATTATTTATATTTGACATTGTGATTAGTGCCAAAGCCACATGGTGATAATGCAGTTGTGAGAAGATAGTACTATGAAATGAGTATACACTCATCTGTTCTTTTACTCACTCACCAATTTACACATTTTTTTGGCTACCTGGTAAGAGCTGATTATTCTGTGAAGTGGTAGGGAAGTTGATATGTACCATAATTTCTTTGATCATTTATTTAAAAATCTATTGCTAGGCCTTCTTACAATCTGCTAAGAAACATTTTAAATTAAAATAAATAAATAAGTAGCGTCATTCTTTGCTTTTTATTTTTTCAGTTAGCAATAATCTTGCTTCAAGTAAACTCCATTGTCTATGATACTGCCACTGCATAAAGTTTGGTTTTTATTTTTATTTTGGAGACAGGGTCTCACTGTGTAATTCAGGTGGACCTTGAATTCATTATGTAGACCAGGCTGGCCTTGAATTCACAGCGATCTTCCTGCGTCAGCCTCCCAAATGCTGTGATTATGGGTGTGCTGCTCCCATAAGGCTGGTTTTTATTTTTTAGGATGCAAACTATAAAGTATAAAGAAATCCTGGAATATTCTGATTTTAACTCTGTATGTCACTTATTATATGTACTTAAAAAATACCTGCGTGTACCTCTCTTTGATTAACCGTACTTTAAAATGGAATTCTGAGGTATAACTTGGTTTTTCAGAGTTATTTTCACTTTGTATAAGTGTTTTCTATATTTTTTTCCTTTTTTATACTTAGATTATTGTTAATTTCCATGTCTTTTGAAAAGAAAATCAAAATATTGTGCAAGGGGTTTAAAAGTACATATTAGTCACTAGTGTTTTTTTTCAGGAAAAAAAACTTCTCGCTTTCTTGGCTAAATGTGTTTTTAGTCAGTATTAAATTTAATGTGCATCATTGTTGGTGGACAAGAATCATCTTGAAAAAAAGAAAGCTTTTGGAGTATTAAGTGAAAAGAGATTGCCTGCAGGATAAGTTAATAGTTGAACATATTCACTGGTTACATGGCCACATTTTATCTTTAATTTATTCTAATAAAAGGTAGTTACTGTCTACCTTTCATCTTAAAAGTATACCCTATTAACAGTAGTTTATAAATCATTATCAAGCCACCTAGGGTATGTTAGTAGTATCTAGTTTTAGAATTAGAAATATATAATGAGATGTAAGTGTGCCTCTGTACAGTAATAGCCAAACATGGTATGAGGCAGGGAAGGGTTCATCTTCAAGTCTTCCCTAACACATTTAAGACTGGTGATATTACCGTTCAGTCTTTCTCTGGTTTTCCAGGCCTCTTTGGCAAGATGTTAGTCCCTGCCCATTAGTCTTCCCATTCCTAACTTACAGTCTTCAACATTTCTCTGTCATTCAAGGTTGCAGAGACATAGAAGAGATATTTGTACGTCTGTGTTCATAGCAACACTATTAACAGTAAGTGGAAGGTGGAACCAACCCAATGTCTATCAAAGATGAATGGATAAACAAAATATGGCATATAAATACAGTACAATGGGCTCCTAATCAGCCTTAAAAAGGCAGGAAATTTTTTCAACTTTTTTTTTAATTTTAAAGAGAATAAAAAAAAAAGCTGGGTGTGGTGGCGCATGCCTATAATCACAGTACTCCAGAGGCTGAGGCAGGAGGATCATTGCGAGTTCAAGGCCAGCCTCAGCTACAAAGTGAGCTCAAGGCCAGCCTGAACTGTGTTGCGAGACCCTGTCTCCAAAAAAGACCCATTAAAAGCTATACAGAACTTCAAAACAGGATGATAGGAAAACAACAATGGTTGTTACATTGCATATTGTTATCTTCAAAGTAGTTATTCAGATTACCAGATATAAGCATGTAAAATTGGTCAAAAAAATGAAGCATGAACTATTCCTTTCAATAAACCAATGGAAATTAATAGTACAGTTATCTTAGCGATCTTGTTTGTGTGTATAACTTTTTCCCTTCCTTCTTTCTTTTCTCCTTTCTCTAGCAGTTTCTTTCCTTTTCACAATATCTATTGTACCTTTCAGATTTTATTTACTCTTTCGGTTTCTTACACTGGGGAGACAGTATGATGTTTACACATGTGGGTCTGATATATTTCACTTATGAGTATAGTTTCTAATTGCATCCATTTACCTATAAAAGCCTCGAG